AACAGGACTTGCCTTAAAGCTGATGGAATGAAATCTGGTGACTCCCTTCTCGGTACCGGTCGAACGTTTTCGTGTGAGCCCCATGGTAAGGGCATCGATGTGTGTGCCACCGTTTCTTGGCTAGGCGATATAGGAATGAGGCATAAAATCTCTTCCGGTACTTGCCGCACAAGGCCATGATCATTTGGACGATGGTGGGATCAGGCGGCCCAAGATGCCTCAGGATGGACCAAACCAGAAGCTACAGCTTCCGCTGTGATCAGTAGGAGAGGTGCCTTAGCAATGTGGCTTGGAACTGTATTTAAGCTAGCCTATCCTTCTTAAAGCCATGAAGGAAGGCGACCTAGCTCTTTATCGTGGGCTTCGATGTCCACAGGGGTACATAGCGCTCTTGGCGAAGCTCCCTATTGTAGATAGATACTGCGTTAACACGTGCCCGGTACGAAACATTTCAAATGTTTGGGGGATTTCGCGTTTATGAAGCGCACACGTCAATTGTTGATTTCAGAGGGTTAATTAGAGATCTATGCCAGATATCATGAGTATGTAGGCTATATGAAATTTTTCGGTATAAGCCGACGGTACGACATAACAACAGAGTAAGAAATTCTGAAAACTAAATCTTATAACAAATTCGAAACTAAACTCGTCTGTCTTTGCACGTTTGTTGATATTTTTGTTTGTTCTAAGAAATCAACCTGTATACAGGCTTGTATACACAGACATCCAAACCAGGATAACAGGACAATCCAAGAAGAGTAATACAATGACTAACGCAGTGTAATCAAATAGCTAAAACCGGGGTATGACGGAACGTCGCAACGTAATGAAGTAACTCGCAGGATCAATCGGGTTTATTGAAACAGAATTATAGCAGGTCCCCAACGTGAAAACTGTAACAAAACAACCAGAATAGCTGTAATGAGGAATGAGTACAATAAATTTGTTCTTAGATCCAGATAGTGTGAATTCGTTTTTACTTGAATCAGGAGAAATAAGGGGATAGACTTGAATGGCGTTTGGTATACATGACAAACGCGTGTCTTCATGGTGGCGAAGTGCATAATGTGTTTACGTGTTGAGATTAAGAGATATGTGTGGTCTGGGTTCGAATCCGTCGTGGACCCACTTAGTTTAGCGACGGCAACCAGTCGTCACATGGAATGGTTACAGACATAAAACTTACAATTGTTAATGTGCGGACCACGTGGGAAAAGGGTGGAATAAGGCTATGCACCTTTACGCTCATAGGCAAATATAAGCGGACATTGTACACGTGTGTCACTCACTCCCATTTAGGTTGACAGATAAAAGTCACTAGGTCCCGAAATTGCGATTATTATTATATGTATACGTGTCAATCAAAGTTGATGTTTTTACTAAAAGCTAGAATCTCCTTATATCTTTTAGCACTTACAGTATACTAGGTCGTTGTACGCGGCATCTGACACCGCTAGGACCTAAAACCTTTACGTCATTGATTTAGTACTGTGGAACAATAAAGAAACTGTAAGAATTTATCACTAAGATAAAAACTGCACGTATTGTATCTGAAGTACCAAGCAACTAAATATAAAAAAGAACTAAAAATTACTCCAAGTTTCAATACTTATCTGTATTTGACTATAGCTGGGCCCTGGCGTACGACATCTGACTTTGATGAAGACATATGCCAGCTAGTCAAATGATAGATGGTATATGAACACGTAGTTTTTCGGTGTTTTGTTGTAAAAAAAAAATATATATATATATACTACATCTTAGTTTTTACGTTACACCGGTCATAGACACGATACAACGGTCGAACAATATATTTTTCTACAGTATCAAACACAATTTGGACGAATATTATGATCGTTTATTTATACACGAAGTAACACCTAGGGTATATACAACTGGTTTGTTAATTTATTCTTATCTTCATTGGCACTACTCCTCAAGAAGATGAGTTTGTCCCGTACTCGAATGCCGAGTTGGAAATTCAATCGCCATGAAATAGAGTCGAAACGTAGCTTCACTATAATATCATACCTGTTTTATCGTAAAACCTTTTGTCACGTTTTTCTCCTGCTTCAAATCTTCTTTGTTTTCCTATCAAGTTGTGGGTCTACCAGTGATTTAAAGGCCAAAATTCTCTGGTTTTGGGTTTGAAATTGGCGCCTCAAATCCTCATCGGATGCCGGCCGTCCTGAGAACAACTGTGGCATCGTGCGAAGGAATTTTCATTTCGCAACTTGTGAGTTACGAAACGCCATTTGCGCCGAGAATTGATGAAGGTCTGCAAACTCTTGTTACACAACGACAAAAAGCGCTGGACGATGGGGCCGGTCTGCAACGATATAAAAGGCAGGAAACGAAAAGCAAGAGAAATATACTTCAAGACATGTCATGCCCCGCCGCCATAAAAATAGGGGTATCGTATGGACCAGTTTTCGTGGCAATATACCACCGCCACCGAGCAGAGGCCATTGTTGCTACTCAACGTATATTCACGACGATGCATGCGAACGTTCTAAATTGAATACGATCCCCCTTTGGATCGAGTAGAACTATTCTCTCTATTCGACTGTCGAGGTAGCCGGCAACAAAAAACAGGATCCGTGGCCACGTCACCTATAACGCTAGAGTCATTCTTGTTCCTAATAGTACTACGATAAACGACACAATAAGGCCAGTTTTTTTTTAGGAACCATGCAATTTTAATTATCCCTTACCGCTGAAAGGAGACTCGCCCAATAGAGATGAATTTATTTCATTGCAATAGCTTTTGCTCTTAGAGTGACTCCGCGTTTTCGTACAGTGTCAATTTTGCCATTTAGATTGAAAGTATCCCTTAGAATTGTCTCACTTCGTATATTTAATAGTGTTCCAAGGAATATATTGCGACGCTATTCAATAGATCCGGTTCAATCGACAAAAAAATCATCACTATATGTCAGTCTTCAGCGATAGACGGCAGGCGATAGATAATTTTTGCTACATTAAAAATGAGCCTTCATTCTTCCTATGTTTGACGTGTAATGAAGTTCCAGCGAGGATTTTCTTAGTTAACACTTCCACAATTCAGGGCAGCTGGCAAGATCAGGCCGAAAACATTTTTCAGTCCCACTAATCGCAGAGCTACGGAATGCTTCTGTTTGTCTTTCTCTATCTTTGTATTATAAAGCTGTTCTGATACGGAACTCGCGTACAACTAGAATTCATGATAACGAAAGCAATCGCTATGGAACATAGATACACTCTTACCTGCCCCGATTAAGATGGCTGACAGTACATAGATAGTTACTGTGACGGAAATAAAATAGATTTCAATGTAATTGGTAGTTAATTAACACGCATTTCCGATGGCATCGTGCTCCTGCTCAAGCAAGCTGTCAAATTGCACCCATGAGTCCCAATCCGCTACGTTTACAAGTGATTTCAAGCAACGATAAATTAAGCGTTGTATTTCGAATGTTCGCTATATATAAGTAATATTATTCAGCAGTAATATAATATTACTGTTTTCGGGTACAGTAAACAATTTTTGGGAACAGCACAGGGGAAAATCGGCATATCTTGTAGGGTAGTTATTTTTCTAGCTAATTTTATAGGGTAAAACACCCGAGTCAAACTTGGGATATGAATCTAAATTTAGCATTTCTTATTTGCGGCACCAGAGTGCGTTTACTTTTTCCTGTAGAATAGTTACTCGGCAGTTGTTCGCGAATTGTATAAGTCACAGTTTTGGAACGTTTGGCCATGTCGCCAGTCGTATTGTGACCGACTCCGATCTCTAAATGTAACAATGTGGATGTTTCAAGATAGATTTCCGAAACTGTGCACGCGTTGCATCAGACAGCTCCAAAGCTTCCGAACGAAACGAGTCTGAGGTTCTCAGAGTTCATAGTTTTCTAGAGAGAACGCTTGGACACTAGGCGTGCGGGAACTGCCAGCCTTTAGTAACTCGTTAATGTGCACGAGTCTTTGAAGTCATCTTTCAGTATTACTTTGAGAACTACCTAGATGTATTCGGGTTTTGTTCAACAAACGTAGAAAGTGGCAAAGTCCTTTTCTTCTATGAAGCTCAGACGTATAAAGTTTAATAACTTCTGCCCCATCCGGCAGGCTATTCTTCGTTTCATTAATAATTCGGCTGTTTAACGGATAACAAGCCATCGCACAAGTAGGGCTACTGAGAGCTTTCCGGCCCTTCAAAAAATTATTTTTGGTTAAGTCGAAGGCTTTTTGCTGACGATGATCTGGCCGATTATTTCGCAACGATTTCGTCAGGCCTATGTCAGATCAGAGATCGGGTTTGTTTTCGGGCTTCGACGCCCTACAGTTGGCTCACCATTTCAAAACCAATTCTGAGTAATGCGAATTGTAACCTGTGGACATCTAGTAGCGACTCCCCGCCACTGGAGCCCCCTACACACATAACAAACGATTACATCTGATCCGTGCCCGATTATAATGCACAGGACAGTAAACGGACGACCCTGCGGCCGTAGTTGTTGCGGTTTTAACGTTCTAAATACCATCAGTTTTCATCTGGTGATGCCTTCGAATTCATAGCGACAAAAACATTAAAAAAATAATAATAGCCGTATTGTTATGGCAATAAAAAAAAACTTAAGTTTATATGATGCTTTTGGAGCGGGAATGACGCTCTTCAGTTGAACTGAAATTGTCGCCAACCCTCACAGCATAGTCTTACTTTAGAATTTAGAAAACAGGTCCTCCCACTGATGATTCCGAAACAGATTATTCATTGGCCGAATTATAATGAGTAGGTTTGCGTCCGCCGCGTTGGTTGGCGCATTGCAGAGGCTCATTGTAGACGGACTTGTACAACGCTATCTCTGGTGTGCGTAACACGTTAAGCACAGCTGGTCGGCTGCAAACAGCATTTTTTAATTTCCGCTAAGACTACGGATTGACCATGCCAAGATGTCATGTGTTATATTTGAAGATAACGAACTCTCCACCGAAAAGAGAAATATCGACAGGTCGTCGAAATTAAGAACCCGTTTAGGTGACAGAAACGAAATGTCTCGCTATTCTCGGAGATCTTTAAATATACTATTAAATTTTAGAATTCGGATTCAACGGGTTGTTGGAAGTAAGTTGCTAGACGGAGACCAAGTTTTTGCATGCGATATCGAATTGATGTAAAGGAACAAGTGTCACGTCGTGGCATGGATTCCTACCAGCAGCTTCCTGACGTTTTTTTCGAGGTTAAGAGTATCCACCCAATTAATTTTCCTCAAATCTCCATAAAATAGCATGAATCTTTTTTACACTTTGCCATCTATAGAATCAACTGCCATTAGCAACGAGTAAAAAAACGTAAAGACAAAATTTCACTAGTGCTGTCGCATCTGTCTCAACCGGCTGTGATGTGGCTAAATAGCCATATTTGTATAAGCTCTGTTCTTCGTCCACTTCCATTTTGTCCACTCGTCGGGTACTCTTCTCGTGAAGTACATTACCTCATCGAACTGTCCTTGTGCCCACTATTCTAATGACGATCCTTCGAAGACACCTGAATGCATACCTTGATAATTCAACTTTTATGCTATTTTACGGATGGCGCTAATGCAGAGCAGTTGTCAGTTTCTGGTTGTAATAGGATGCGTGCCGTTGAATCCCTACTTCTTCCTAGTGTGTTCTTAACATAAGTAGTAACCTTTACTGTGATTATGTTTTAATGTTTATAGTACGTCCGGTTCTGTTAGGTTTGCTAATTCCAGTGCGGACTGATACAACGAACGTATACGCCGACATCGTTAAAAACACACCCGTGTAAGTTGCCTTTTCAGAGCCATCGGTCCTATTCTAAACAAGGTACAGTTATGCATATCGATCCGGCATTGAACGATGCCTTCCTTACCGCCTGCCGTAGCTAGAGCGAAGAGCGTTGTGTTACTTCTGAAGCTCCGAGTGAGAAAATGCCCTGTTAGGTGCGACGGTGCTTGTATGATACATGTGTGATTGCAACTGATCGTTTCATCATCGTAGAGCTAAACCCTACCGTGATTACGGAACAAATATCTATTTCTGTTTGTCGTTTCTTCCGCAGTGCGCTGGCGGCTGCAAGAGCAAATCTCACAAATTTTACCAAGGACCTGCAATTTTTCGACCTGAACGTGAGCCCCGCTCAACGTAGTGTTCGTGATCAAGCCTATGCGTTTGTTAAAATATTGGCACGCGAATGGCATAACGAAGTTCTTACAGCAGCTAGTTTGCGTGAAGGTATTGAAAATCTTTATTTCCTTGGACATTTTTGGAAGCGCGATGAAGTCGTAGCCAGGGTGAGTATATTCCGAACATAATGAGGTGCCACCAACACGTTTTCGTTTATCTACTATTGTGTCGTTCTTATTGTTAAGTGAAAGCTGAACGCCAGCGAAATGATGGCTTATTCAGTCCACTGGTTTCGGAAGAGCACGTTTTGTGTTTCGGACGCACGGGGGAATGACGACCGTTTCCGCTTGAATTTAAGAAGAAACATTCAGATACGAACTACTTAGCTGATTTTTAATGTCTCCTTTCAGTCGTTCATATTTCTATTGTTGAGTATCCATAATTGCGCGTGCGTGCCTTTTACAAATCAAGCAACTCTGCATTTATCCAATTTTTTGTTTTTACTTATCCGGGTTGGTTTACTTGGGAAAGCACAAAAGGTATTCGTAGCCTGGTAAGCAGCGTCGCTTATAGGGCAAACTCTGTGCAGCCGTACTTATGCTCAACATTGAATTAAATCGATTATTACACTGGTAGCAGAACGATGATTTCGGCGCACGTTGGCCGTCATGACTGAATAGGTTTTGTTGACGGCTGGCGCAAAGATGGCTCAATGTAACTTTTTGTTTATTTTTTTACATTTCTCTGCCTCTCATAAGAATCGTGTGAACACTTAACACTATACAATGGCAGGTCATTAATGTGTGAACGATCGAAGAGGTTGAAAGCCACTGAACCTGCTTTATATGCGGCTTCACGATATGCGTTGGAAACACCTACGATACACCCTGACGAGTTAGGCTGATTAGCGGCTTAGCCAATCTGTTGGCACCTCACATGTATGGCTTCGTTTGTCATTTCGCTGTATGGCGTACGTTTTAGACTATCGGAATCGACCTGATCCATCTGATTAACGGATTGGGACCACTACTAGAAGAATGCGAAAGATTTAGTGAATTGGATGTTACAAACTGGGATCGAATTGCTTCGGTTATTAAGGCAGAGCTGGTGGGCGATTCCACTACTCACACTAGTAATGAAGACTGTTTCGTTGGGAAGATTAAGTACTTTGTTTTGGACAAGGTCATTGGTGAGTTAATGAAGCTTTTTGTAGGACGTTGCTTTCGATGGGGTCAGTAGTCCGTTATTCGCGCTTGGATTTCAAACCAATATAAATCACTTAGCCGTACAATGGTATGTACGATTTATATTGATGATACATAAGCTACAGTGCATATGCGCCCGTCTTCTCATGGTGCCTTTGGTGGAATATCCTGTTAGAGACGTTAGGGGTCACTTTGGCTATGTATGTATAGTGTTCATATTCTACGTACAACTGATCACGCAGACTAAGTGCAAAGAGACAAGATGTGGTGTTTCTATGGAGCCCCCCTGATAAGAGGTTGTACGACTGTTTGTTTCTAGATCCATCTGCCAGTTTTAGATCTTGAAATAAATTCTTTCTCAATGTCCTCCAGAATCTAAATTTGGTACTTCAATCTACGTACGAACGCGTTTGTTTCAAAGGAAATCCTAGCGCTTTCAATAATTCCGATAGCGGAGTAGGCCTGAGAAAGCAAACATTTCAGAATTATCTATTGAACAATTTTAGACCTTAATCGTATCTTAGTAATGTTTTGCGTATGGTAACGACCTGAGCTTTGCGAACGGTTGTGCTTGTATGTAAGCCGAGCATGATCAATACCTGCATAGATAGATATATTTGGTCTGACACATCAAAGGCAGGGATAGGACAAAATAGAGGTTATTTCAGTGAAATACATATTACGGGACAGAATAAATTACAGTGGCCTGTCGCGGATAGACACGTTCCGATTGATGGTACGTTATTCCATAATGTAAAACTAACAACTTAATAAACCTCTAGGGGCTGGTGGATTTGGAGTCGTATACAAGGCGCGATTAGGTAAGGCGATCTGTACAATCAAAATGGTCCCGAGATCCCTGATACCGGATGTCGAACATGCGCTAGCCGATAAAGAGGTGGCGTCGATGGTAAACCATCCGTGTCTTGTGCGCTATTACGCGACGTTCTCTACGGCGGAATCGTTTGTCATAGTGATGGAGTACGTCCGGGGAGTAGATGTGATCCGACTTCTACACCTTTCCACACGCTTGTCCGACGTGCTCGTTAGGCTGATCTTGGCGCAGCTTGCATTGGCGATAATCCACATGCATCATAAAGGCTTTATTCACCGTGATATCAAGGTGATACTGCATCCGATAGTTTTTAATCATTAACGGACGATACTGTATACCTCGATTCACCGAATTAGCCTATGGCTCTTATGAAAGAGCCAGCCACCAGACAATACGCGGTCTTTGTACGAAATTATTACAATAATGTCCTCTACAAGGTATTTTCACCCATAAAATTTTCTTTAGGTGGTCGTTATCAACTACTTTCGACTACTGCCATTAATTGTTTCGAATCCTAGTCACGGTCAGTCATTCTGTGCCGACTGGTTTCAGCCCTCGAACATGATGATTACGGTGGGGTGCCGCGTTAAACTAATCGACTTCGACACAGCTAAAGTTTGTTTCGGAAAATTTGCTAATCGTGCTCTTCCTAGTTTCTACATGCGAACAGCAGAAGAGCTTAAGGACGGCGAAATTGCGGGCACGGTTTCCTATATGGCTCCAGAAATACTGTTGTATAAGGACTACGGACGTAGTGTAGATTGGTCTGAGATGCTGATATGACATAATTAAGATTATATTATATATATATATATATATATAATATATAAAACTATTCCTACTATTAGGCATTCGATGTTGAACTATTTATATCTGTTCCAGCTTAATGCGTATAACGAAACGTCGTTAAATATGAAGCATTCTGCGTAGCTCGACGCGAGTGGGGATCTTCTCTACCGATAACGTTACGGCTCGTAAAGCTTGTTAATATTACGACCGATGTGTTATTCACTGAATTTTATAGGTGGTCTTTTGGAGTAACGGCGTTTGAACTAGCAATCGGCAAACGTCCCTTCGGTTTAAAGGACAGTATACCTTTCGATGAACAGAAGAAGAAAGTCGTTCGGGGAAATTACGAGTTTCCGACCGGCGTGACTTTGTCAAAACAGCTTAAAAAACTTATAGGGTCGTGCCTTCAGAGACAATTGTCACGTGTGTAACTATGTTAGTGTTTGAATACTACGTCATATACGCATACTCATGCATATAAACATACAAACAGAGGTAAATATTTTAACAATTCTTCTTTGTCGTATCGATGTCAGATAATTAGTTTTGCTATAATTACTTCTGCGTGATTCAATTCGATCTGCAGAGCGGTTTTGCACGGAACACTATTCCCAGTTCTGGAATCACCCGTATTTTTCTGGACTGGACTTACGATGGGTCGAAACAAGCCCAGAAGTACTTAAATTCGATCCTCTGGCGTCGGTGAACGCTGGAACGCTCACCTACGACATCAAACAGGGATGCGATTCGCCCGAAGCAACGCCCACCGTTGGCGATAGGTGCAATCGGCTCTTTCCAAAAGCTGGCTTCACTGTACGAACCGTTCCTACTTTAGGCTATTATTAATGCGTTGCCTTTTTTTTTTTTATAGATGTAGATATAGCTTTAATAAAAGCATCGTTTAATTGGCGTCATCTAAAGAAACTGTCGGCCACGCTATCCAAGAAGCATATGATTCTGAGTTAACATAAACAGATCGTACTGGCAACCGGTTATATCGGACCCAACTTACTTTCACTTATTACCTGACTGCAATAAAGTCGTTACTTAAGACAAATGAGAAATAAGCGATCTTTTTTGCGGGTTTTCTTTCAATTTATGCAGGATACTGACTCTCAAGTGCGACTGTACACGTATTCGTCGCCTGGTTTCAAAGACGCATGTCGTATGATCCTTAGGGGAGAGTGTCCTACCGAGCAAGTTATCCATATTATGCCTGAACTAATCGATCTACACGAAGAGGCTGGAAATTTCTATTTTGGAGATGATTCCAAAAGACATCCTCCGGTTTGAATTTGTGTATTACTACCTCGAATTCTAATGAGTCAGCTTCTTTGAAGCGTAGTCCAGCTGCTAGCAGAAGTAGCATACAAAATGAAGGAGGGATCTTGATCGTATGACCTCAATGTAAGTGTTCGTAAAGCGACAGAATGTTGCAAGGTACAATCTCAAATATAATCGATGCTGTGTGTATCTTCCACGTTATTCTTCTTAACTCTATTTGATAACACGTATTACTGACACTCTCGAAACGTCTTTAGATTTTGAAGTCCTTCTTGGTCGTGCTCTAGTGATTCTCTTTTTAATCGAAATTGAAAATACAGCCTCGTTAAATCTGCTCAGCTCACTTCAAAGATAATTTGGTTACTTGAGCAAACAGTCCCATATTCTCCATTGTTGATATTTGCTGTCCCACAATCCTGGAAGGTAACAATAACGTATAGGAATTTATTTTTGAGACGGGATTGCGGCATCTTTACATATAGACAAGTTCATCGAAATTCTTTAGCGTATCTGTGTTTGTTTGTTTGTTTGTTTGTTTGTTTTTTTCTATTCTTAAGTTGATCGAATTGCGGCATCGAGAGCTATTATTAAAAGCCTAAAATTGTATAGACTCCTCCAACTAAACTCGACGGCACATGGGCCTTGTAAATCACTCTGATTTTATATGTACTATTGAAAGCAGTGTATGTATGTGTCATATGTCTGTAGTTCTCATGCTGTATCTTCGGTATGAATAGAAACACATGTTCTTTGTTGAATAATGAATTCGTTGATCTGAATAATAGCAAGCCACCGCTAACAGAAGACCGCCATTGTGCCTTCCGAATAATTTACTAAAAGCGATATCCAAGTCGAGAGACACGAGAATAGCTATACTGCCGGTACGCCATCTATATATATACTCGGATGATACGCCGTACTGTTCAGAACTGCTAGCAACGATGCCCTCTGTAGGCCTCGAAAAACTAGAAAATGAAGGCAAGACAAACAAACAAATGATTGTTGGCCGCCTCGCACAATACAGCAAACGCTCGACTAAGAAAAATATTATGACATTACTTATTCCACCCTTCATGAAGGCAATTTTCTTTGCTTTCGTGCGACCTACGGCCATCGAAATGTGATACCGGACGACGATCGCTAGTTCTAGAAGACGAGGCCGCTTTCAAAACGTACTAATAAAATGCAGTACCTTTACAGGCCCCGACGAGAACGTTGGAAGATCTTGACTTCCTTCGCGAGGCCGCTGGAAAGTCTTAAAGAGGACTTCGATATGGAAAATGTGGAATTGCGTGAAGAACGAGCAGATTCGTTGAAACTTAACTAAAGTTGGATACATTTTTACTATCATTTGTTTACCTATCATTATATGTAGCGATCTGAAACCGCAAACGGGCCAACCGTTTTTTGGCCATGGGATCAGACACCATTTTATAAATCGGTTTTTTGCAGCTCAATTCGTTCAAAAAAAAAGCAGCAGGTGTCATACGGCCGTATTGTGTTTCATGAGGTTGGTGACTGTATTCTAAGAACAAGGGGAACGACTTGTCGTCATCGATTTTAAGGGGCCCGCTTAACAATAATTTAAAATCTAGTTAAGCCGACGATTTCTCTTTCAGTAACTATAGCCTATTTAAAATCAGTTATTACTATGGCAACGGTAGCGTTTCTGAGCCGGCTGCTTCTCCTAACACTGACGTATTTCTATCGGCTGTAGATGTGCATCTAGTCAAAAATCAGATACGACATGATAGCTTAGCTGTTCCATAACTGCTTATTCGAAAAGTAGGTGTCTAGCGTGTGTATTGTGTGTGTAGAACAAGCAGATGCTTTGACTGAAAGAATATGGTAAGAAAAACTTTGGTCCTTCGGTTCATCGATGATTTTCACATAGATTTTACATTAAAATTTGTATTAAACGATATCTCTATATATATAAGATAGATGAATCATTGTTTACATTTACGGAAATTCGTCTAGAATGGAATTATATGATGAGTCGATGCTTGTAGCTCACGGGAAGCGTTACGGTGAGTATAAACATTAGAAGGTCTATTTCGAAAAAACAAATTCATAAACAAAGCATTAATCATTGCTTAATACTTTATAGTAATATAATGATAGTATTTAGTATGAACGTGAAAGCCTGAACTATTGGAAGTATTCTCACGTTTTTCACGCTTCGACTAACAACGCCTGCCCTATACGGAAGAAACCATTTACGGAGACTAATGTATTAAAGTTTGAAATGCACCAGTTTATCATAGCAAAACACTCGCACGTATGGACTTGCAGACATGTTTCCGTTAGCTCATTACACCGCATACAGAAAAATCTAGGTTTGAGGTCATTTTGGTGTGGCGCACATCTGTCTGAAGGAGATACAATGCATAAGTAGTACTTCAACATCACTCAATAAGACAGTGCATCTTCAAAGGACATTTTCGGCAGGCGTCTCTGAAGAAATACGGTTTTGTTTTAGAAAAACAGTATTTCAACCATTTTTTGAATGTTTAATAATGAAAATGGACATCAATATAGAAACAGCTTCATGAAGCTTCGTCGCATTTTGTGACATTGTTGTACTCTAATGCATTTTACCTTCGGTAGGGGAATGTAGCATGCCGTTAGCGAGCAATGCCATCTACAGTCTTCTGAACGAGTTCTGTGCAAGCAAGAGCGTTATACAAAATAGTGTGCAACAATGATGTCGAAATATTTTACTTCAGCCAGCATAAAATAACTGAGTAACACAACTTGTAAAACAACATACATATATAGAAGAGGGTCAACTCAAGAGGGTACCTAGAATTCGACACAAACATACATTTGATTGAGGCAGACTTTAATCCAGGGTAGTACCCGCCAGTGACATTCGAAATGGGTCATTGCTGTTAACTGTGGTCTACACCATTGAACAACCTGTGCTCTATAGTAGAAGTAAGTGGAATGAGGAGTGTTTGCGTATACAGGGATGCATCTTACGGCTGTATCCATGTGAAACGTCTTGCCATAAAACAGTATTGAAGTGGTACGAGAAATTAAAGGAAAATCAACGCAAAATCGTGGTACTGCGAGTAGTCAGGCAGTGGGATGCAAGACGATGTTTATATGCGTTTTTCTCTATGCTGCTCTTATGCACATCGGCCACCGTGCTCGTTCTAGAGAAACATCGGCGACCTTTACAATATTTTCTTTAGATATATAATTTGCGGTGTTAAGAAGGAATAGGCGAAAGAGAAATGGTTTTGCGTGCAGCTGTATTAAGGCTTTTTTTTTGAAAATACCATATATATATACGGCTTCTTTTTTGCAATTCCGTGTTAGATCGTGATCCGCTAAAGAGTCAAATTAGTAGAATGGGCAGCGAGCGAGCTTTGCGGTTGTCTTATAGAAGCTCTTTTGTAAGGACACAACTTTTTCTGTGGCGAAGGAGCAACTACCTTATCATACAGAGAGATTCACTTTGCAATATATAAGGAAAGCGGCAAAAATAACCACAATTTATATATATATATATATAGAACTAATAAAAGATATAATGTATATAAAGAAATAATAATAACCAAACCATGAAAATGGTTGCCATAAAATAAAAACCATTGAAAAAATGTATTCTTTGATTTTGTTGGCGTGCTTGCTCAGCGTTTAACACTAGATGTGAGTTTTAGAGTACACAATCCCAGAGACACAGTTTACGGGCTCAAGCGCCACTTGACAATTCAAGGTGCTTAAAGTAGCAGGTTAAAAATTATGGCTGACAATTATGGCTGAAGTTTATATCACCCAAGTATATATATATATATATATATATATATATATATATATATATATATATATATATATATATATAGCCAATATCTAAGAAGGGATTTTAGTTTTTGTAAGTCAGCGGGTGCCTCGACATCCTGTAGGTAGCGTCGAATGTACCTCAGTTCCCGTTAATGTTATCGAAATTATAAAACAAGGCCTAGCTGGCACCTCACGTATTTGAAAACGATTCGACATTTGCCAAATGCTGTACCCCACAACCGTATAGCCAATGTCTATTATCTAAAGTATACGCAGGAACCTCGTTACGGCCAAACTATTGAAAAGTTGCTTGTATCATGGACTTCTTAAAATGTACCCTCTTGATACGAACCACGCTTAACTGATCCAGATGAGTATATTTCTGACAAACTTCAAGAGCTAATGAGATTGAAACTAGGATGAATAGGAACCTCCAGAAACACTAAATTGTCTTACGTAAATTTTCCCATTTGTTTCATCGCTTCACTTTGGACGCGTATAACGCGCCTATCAATTGGTCTTTGAGGCGCATACTTGGCTTATTAACTATTCCGTTTGTGTACCTTTCCATTAACAACATAGTCCACATATTCACTCAAATCAAATAAACCGGGCCATTCTTTCCGTTCCTTTATGTATAGTCAGAATAAACAACCTAGTAGAATTGGACTAGTAACTAAACACACGAAACACACAGATGCACACGTCTACCTAAAAAGAACTAAACGAATATCTTCGTAGATTTTTTTTCAACTGCGAGCGCTGCGTAATCAAAATGCCAGACTTCCCTGCTCTGGTTCCTGCTTCATAAAGCGCCACTATGTATAATGGCATAGACGGGTGCTTTTTATTGTAGCGGTGTCTCAACGCACGATAAACGACGTCGATGATGGCAGGGACTACCGCTATAGCGACTCGGGAGTAGCTTTCTCTTCGAGAAAATCCCTTCGTTTCTCCCTGTTTGCGCCTCTCTGGCTCAGTCTTTCTCTGCTATACTTCATTATTCCCATCACTTTTGTGGCCCGCTCGTGTCTCCCGTATGAACGGTACGCAAATGTTTCGGGCTTCGCTTTTTTCCCCCCTCTCCATATCTCTCCATGACCCCTTTACATCGTGGTAAAGTGGGAAAATGGCGTGACTTTGTCGCAGACACTCATTAATAATTAATGAAGGCCTGAAGTTAAAAAGGGGGCCGGGTCGAGGGGTTTAGACGCAGGCGCTGCTGCTATCACCATCATCACTTGTCCTGCGGCGGGCTTTTAGTTCTCGAAGGCGGCTGAATCGGAGCTAGCAAACGTGAAAGACGACCGAAATCGTGACGCGCCCAACAGCGGCCCAATATCGTATACCATCACCGAACTGCTCCACCACACCAGGAGAGGACAACAGAACGAACGGCCACAACTACTAACATCACTGCTGTCCCAATAGCTTCGTATTGTTACAGCCAAAGCTTTGACTTCGAGTTCTGTTCCAACAACATCAAGAAAGAAAAGCGACGCGGCAAAGACGACTTTCTTCGTATTGCTTTTATTCTTTTCCGTCATTTTTCTTTTGTCGAGTGAAACAAAACTTTAACCTGCTTTAATCTGACGCTGCTGGCGCCGCCGCCGGTGCCGTCTCAACCTGCATAGGCCGCAGCCTAATTAAAATTAATTAATAATATACTATTTCGTGACAGTCCTCGGCAAGGGCGCCTACTCCTGCTGGCGCTACTGCCGCTGACGGCTTCGGATCACTACGATTACGTCGATAACGACACCGATTCTCTAATAGAAAGACCAATGAATCCAGCGTGCGACGGCAAATGACGACAAGTCGCTCGTAATTCCTGCTCTGCCGCTGCTATCGCGAATAGAGGAACAATTTTCGTTGTGGTTTCTCGTTCAGTGTATTCAGCCAGGTATGTATTCTAACTATACAACAACATACCCCACACTATAACGTTCGGAGCGTGCGGCCGAAAGTTAGCGCATTTAAGGTGTCACGTGGCAAGCCGGAGCAACGGATGCAGAAAAAATATAGAGGAGATGGCGAAAACTGTGGAATCAGTACTCGGGTTCATTCGCCGTCGTTCTCATGATTTTGTGAGGAAGAGGGACGTTTAAGGAAAAAAACGTTATTCTGAACGTAAATACCTTTTACATATATTTAGTAAGAGAGCAGCCTGATAAAACATTGCTTCCTTTTTGTTAGTCGGTAAGGAGAGGGGAAGTTTTCAGTATTCTTTGCCCCCCCCCCCCCCCCCCACCTCCCAAAAAAACAAACCAATAGGAATAATGGCAAAAGATATTAACGCTGTAGGCGTGCTTCCAACACAAAGAACCCACGAAACAAGCGCGACGTACTGTTAGCAAATATAAAAGTATGGAAAATTATAAGGGTCACTGAAAACGCTTGAACGTAGCGAATCCCTCAGTCCGCTAATTTTGTATCCATTTTACTAGAAATAATAACAGAAGAAATACGTTTACGTATTCATCTTTAAAATAATT